AAGGGGATTGCCTCCCAAGCCATCTTATTGGGGGGAATCCGAGGCACTTGAGAGAGGAGAAAGAGGTGGTAGAAAGGGAAGCACGTGAAAGAAGGGCATGGCGTCTGGAGGAGGCTCACCGGAGGAGGTATTTACCGGACCTTGGGACCCCTATGCAGAGGGAGTCGACCCCTTCGACCTGGAGGGAAGAGATGAGGAGACCCTTCCCCTAATAGACATTGACGTTGACAACCGAGAGGATGTAGACACTAACCCTTTCGTCAAGGGTCCTTGGACGAGAGAAAAGAACACGGACAAGTTTAATGTTGATACTTCTTTATTTGATGTTCCAATAAATCCCAGTTCTGTTTTTCAAAAAACTGAGCATCCTGTGTTTGTGTCCAATCAGCCTGAGGTTACATTCGAACCCTCACAACTATGTAGATCTTTCCTTTCTTCTTTCTGCTCTAAAGGATGACAGGACTTACCTATTCTGCGTAACTGTTCAAAAGATTGTTGGCTGTTTCAGCTACACATAAAATCACTGGGTGAACTTGGGCCAGTCATTTCATCTGAGCCTAACTTAAGCTGCAGGGTTAGTGTGAGGATAAAAAGTGGTGGAGGCTTTATCTCCTAAAGCTTCTTGAATGAAAGGTAGGTTATAAATCAGGGATGGGCAAGGGCAGCCTATGGGCTGTATATGGTGTCTCAAGTCTGTTTTTGAGGCTCCCATGGCCCAGAGTCCCAACTTAGTCTTTCTACTAGCAAAAGGGGCAGTTTTAGCTCTGGAAGTATTTGTCCAGTCACTTCCAGGTTTGTTTTTTGTTTGGAATTTCTGGGCTTGGGCTGTGGCGGGAAATGGGGGGTTAAAATTTAGCCCCAGGTCCATAAAAGTTGCCTACTCATAAATTATGGGTATTTTACTATTAACTACCCATAAATTATGGGTATTTTACTATTAAAAGTTGCCTACTCATGAATTATGGGTATTTTACTATTAACAGCTATGTAGAAAAAGGAACTTCAATGGATGCCTATTGAAGGCATCCACTGAAGTTCCTTTTTCTACATAGCTGTTAATAGTAAAATACCATAAAGTAAACAAAATTCAAAATATAATATTAGTCAGTTCTTGACAACTATGGTAAACATTATACTTCTACAAATATATTTCTATTGACCTGTTTCAAGGGAAACTTCCCTATAGCAGTCCTGCCCATCTTTACTGTTTTTATTTTTTTTGGAAAGACTTAATTTTATTCCAGGATATTTTTAGCAACTTAGGTAGGACTAAGACAAAATAGAAATTGTAAAGGCCCATGATACTGAGGAAAAGCAAGCACTCTCCTGGGAGAAACTGCAGCTGCCACGGTGATGGCCTCTGAGACACCTATCAACTTCATAATGTTACACATAACATCTGCTGCATTCCAAATTGTATGCCACACATTTTCAGACAATCATTACATTTGGCATGTTAGGCGTTTCCTTGCAAACAGCATACCTGTTTCTTCTAGGTATGAGTTTTAACTATTTAAATCATTGTGACAGAATCTTAATGCTGAAAGAGGGCCAAATAATCCACGTAAATTAGAGAGATTTTCCCCAATTATCCTGCTCTACATTGTTTGACTTCTAAGAAGATAGCATTATATCATTATACCAAGCAAGAACGATGAAATACATTTGTTTTGGTCTGATTTGTTGTTTAGTTGTTAAGTCGTGTCCGACTCTCCATGACCCCATGGACCAGAGCACGACAGGCCCTCCTGTCTTCCACTGCCTCCTGGTCTGTTTTACCCTATGATAATTTTCAAACCTTCTCATGTAGAAAAAGATTACAAAAATAGAGATATCCCAGACAGTTCAGTGACAGGAGTTGTATAAAGGTCTAGCATCAATCAGTGAAGTAACTGAAGGTAAAAACACTGATCAGCTGGAAATCCTTAAACAAACATACGAAGCAGGAATCTAAAATATTTTATTTAACTGAAGAAAGAGTAAGCAGCCACTTCAAATTCCTCAGGAATATTAGAGCATTTCATCATCAAATGATCTGCTAAAGCAACATTTGCAACTGAATTAGTGCTACCCTCAGGAACTAAAGTGGTAGAGTTGACTTATTTATCATCTTTGTCAAAATATGAATGGATATACAGTGGAACTTAATCCATCCCAGAAGATGTTTGCAAGTTGAAATGTAACCCACACACTTTAAACCCACACATTTTAAACCAAATCAAGCAATCAAACTCCATTTTAGAGCACACCAGCCAGCACAGACCCTTGCAAAAAAAATTCTGATTTTAAAACCATAAGACTAAAATTCATTTTAGACCACAACAGCCACCAGCACAGACCCTTACAGAAAGGGTCTGCAAGACCCATCAGAGACCAGAAACATAATCCCCACCTAACCCGGAGAATTTTTTTTAAAACCTAAGATGACTCATAACCCCCACCTAACCCAAATCCAAAAATAAAATATAAAAAAGCCAAAAAACAAAAACAAAACACAGTACGTACAGTACAGTACCAGGCAGTCTGAAGTGTCTCTCTGTATCCACTCTCTAATCGCTGGGGCAAGCGAGGTAGCAATCAAGCAGCCTCTTCGCTGGCCAAGGGTTCACTGAAAGTTCAAATTTCCTGCTTTACCCACATTTTTTTTCTGTTCGTAAATCGAAGCTCCAGTCGCAAGTCGAAGCAAAATTTTGCGACCGGAGCTATTAGTAAGTCAAAATTTTTGTAGGTAGGGGCGTTCGTAAGTCGAGCCACCACTGTAATCTAAACATGTAAGAAGGGTCCTCTCCAAAACAGCCACCTGAAAACATAAAACACTAATACCCTAGTCGAGTATTACAATGTTAGCCTAGGGTATTCAGTTAAATCTGGTGCCTGATTTGTTCTTTGTTAAGACAGTATATTGTTATTACGGTGATCATTCTACACATTTTGCCCTATTTTCCAGTATAAAATTTCTCTCTACTCAGCAGAAATGTCTGATTGACAGAGGATGCAGGAAGATTTGGGCATGTTTGCTAGGAATAATGCTATAATTGTGATTGTTCAGCCAATGTCTCTACAGACCATGTTACTAGCACAATTGTCCTTTTGCACGTTTAGCTACCTTAGGTTTCCATAAATGTGCCTCAGGTTTATCCAGCCTGCCATGTCTCCTCACCTTAGGATACACACTGCTATGGTATTTAAAGAAATATCTTGTATTTCTTAAAAGAAGCATGCAAAGATAATATACACATATGGACAGCTTGCAATTGTGTGGGAAGAACAATTTAAAATTTGTTAGGGGAATAAATGGTGCTGTGGCTAGTTTTGCATTAGGACTTTGAAGCTAGGCAAGTCTGGGTGGCCTAAAAAGAATCTGGGTCTTGATCTAAATTGCCTTAAATGAGTGTTACAAGGACAAGATAAATTACTAGCACACTTGGGGCCGGCATCCTTTTGTGTAGTTAACACAAATGGCATCACTTTTTGACACAAACTGCCTGAGGTTAGCTAATCATATTCATTATCCGCTGCCCAGTACGGTAAACAACAGATACCCATGGTGATTTGTTAAGCTCTGAACATGTGGCCTTTTATGTTACTACTGTGTAACTCCAGATGATGATTTTGGCCGCTAAATGATAAAACCTCAAAAGCAATCTGCATTAATTTGTTTGTAATGTTTGTGTCTTAATTACGTTGCACTGTAATGACAGGCCACAGTTTAAGTGGGTACCAAGGGCTGGGCAGGTAATTGCTTTCGGTAACTGCAGCACCATATAGCACCAGTGAAGTAGCACCTATATTCTGACATTTGTTTTGCAAAATCTAAGGCTTGATTTTGATGAAATGCTGACCGAAGGCAAAACCTTTACCAGTATAGTTAATCTACATGCCAAGGTCCCACTTGGAAGTACAGTGGTGCCTCGCTAGACAGTTACCCTGCATGACAGTTTTTTCGCTAGACATTGACTTTTTGCAGTCGCTATAGCGATTCGCAAAACAGTGATTCCTATGGGGGAATTTCACTGGACAATGTTTGGTCCCTGCTTCGCAAACCAATTTTTGCTAGACAACAATTTCAACAGCTCCCTCCGTGCTCGCAAAATGGGTGTTTCACAAGACAGCTATTTAAACAGCTGATTGGTGGTTCGCAAAGCGGCTTTCCCATGGCTGATCTTTGCTAGATAACAAAGATTCTTCCCCATTGGAATGCATTAAACAGGTTTCAATGCATTCCAATGGGGAAATGCTTTCCGCTAGACGATGATTTCGCTAAACAGCGATTTCAGTGGAATGGATTATCGTCTAGCGAGGCACCACTGTACTTACTACATGCTCTAGCCAACAAGAACAGGCTGCATATCTGTAACTGTGACTCTGAGTGGTCATCTATGAACAATGTAATATGTCACATACTTGCCAATAATGGCCTAAGTGGGTATTGTTCTTACACAAACTTACAGGCTTATGCACAGAGAGACCGCACTGTGTGCATGAAGGATATGCATAAAATGCAGATCTATATGGATAAACATTTCTTGTGTGGCAACATCACAGTAAGTTTTTCTTAAGATTAAAACAGCAAATACACCACCTTGCAAAGTCTCACCAAAATCAGCGTGGCTTTCTCTGAAGCATACATGATGATGACCCCACTATAATAGTTCCCAACATCACTACTGCTGCTCATTGGAATGTGCAGTCTAGCAGGTAGGCTGATATTTAGTTGCTTTATACACATTAAAAACACCAATACTTGCATTATGATGCATTTTATAAATCTGTTTTACCCATCACGTCTAGAACAATCTGGCTCTCTGGGCACCTGTAGTGCAAGCAATACTGCACACATTGTGTTTTCCTTCTACTCTGTAATTCAAATATATGGCAACTTTAAAATGCAGAGGAGGAAAAGACAAAAAACGCATCCAAACCAGGAATCAAACCAGTGTTGGCAGTTCTTTCATTTTTGAAAACATTAAAAATTGAGCATTACTCTTTTATAACTTAAATACATAAGTATTCTCCACTTTATTACTTCATGACTGTGACTTCAAATTTACATTATTTTAAGTACCATCGTAACAGCTTCATTTATAATACAGATATCAGCTGAGAATCCATCAGGAAATAAAAAATCTTCACTATATATATAAAAAAAGTATGCTGGAAATACATGAACACAGGACAGGGACTTAATACAGACTTAATTTAGTTTTATAATCAACCACATTTAACCCAAAGTTAACAGATACGTAGCAATATTCAAGAGCAGTGCAAATATCTTTGTAGATCAGAGAAAATTATACTACCAGAACATAAGATGGGGAAATAAAAAGGCAAGTACTTCAAGTACAAGGAATGAGTCTTAATGAGGTCTTTCAGTGTTTACAAGGGCTTCCTTTTCCCGTTCATTTCTTTCTCTGGAATACATTAGCCAGCATGGCTCCTGAGGTGGTCAACTGGCCCATTTTGTTCAGAAACTTGGTCTTTGTGTCTTCACTCACAAGACTTGCTGCAATTGACATAGAGCTAGGGGGAAGGAAAGGCAGGTCAATCTATTGGATCACTAATTAAAATGATCTACAGTAGCAGGGCAAAAAGACTTGGAAAAACTGCTACCAAAAGAACAGTACTGTGTTAGAGACGCAGTGTCTTTGTCTAAGACAATTTCATGTATTACATGGCCACCTTTGAAAAAACTGTCATTAAAATATACTGTGATTCTGAACAAAGGCTTTAAAATCATACCCAACTAAGATGTCCCAAGTGAAATGAATCTGCACCCAACAATTCAGTGATTTCAAATTTAATAAGGCAGGTGGTCCTCATTCTTAGCTTGCGTATGAAGACAAAAGAGAAAATAAAGTGTTCTACAGAAAGCACTAACTTGCACTTTCTGTGAAAGCCCAAATTCTGGGCAAAACCACTGTTACTTTCTTCCCCATTTCCAAGTGATGAACAGCAAGGTGTATTCTTCCATTGTACCATAATTTGGACTTTTCTGTTGCCCTCTGCAAAAACCTAGAGATAGACTCCTGTTTCTCCCCTCCATGAGAAGAATAAGGGCACGATTTTTTTGGGTTTTGTAACAAAAATAAAGGACCAAGTTTCAGGACATAAAGCAATGTTCTTTTGATGAAGAAAAAGAAACCTTTCTCGGGAGGAAGGCTTTGGTGTAGTATTCTGGGTGCTCATCAGACAGGACAGTATACTTGTCCACAGTGAGAAGGCAGCTGGATTTAAAGAATCCTACTACCATGTACTTATTCCACTAATACAGTAAGGGATCCAGTGCACATGAAATAACATTATATTATTTTAGCTTGTACATATTTGTTTATACAGTGGTGCCTCGCAAGACGATTTTAATCCATTTAATGGAAATCACTGTCTTGTGAAAACATCGTCTTGCAAAACCCAGTTCCCCATTGGAATGCATTGAAATCTATTTAATGCGTTCAAATTGGGGGGGAAGTCACTGTCTTGCGGAAATTGTCCATAGAAGACATCATCTTGCAAAACACAGTTCCACATATCATATTGGGGAAAAGCAATCCCTTCACCTGCACTGCCTTTGGAAATGCAATGGGTCTCAGATGGCCACCCCCCTCTTTCTCTCTCTAGCAAAGAGAGTGAAAGGAATCAAAGCAGCCCCCTGGCTCCTGATAATGGTGACTCCTTTTGCCCTGATCCTTTACCACAGGGGAGAAGAGGAAGAATGCAATACAAGACATCACTAGGACTTGCTGCCTTTGCAATAGGTCCTGATGAGAAGAAAGAAATGAAAAGGAATCTAGAAAAACCAGGGAAATCACACATGCAATCTCCCATTAGCACAAATTATACAGTTGAGTTCCCCACATTTGGGGAAATCACAGGGATCAGCAGCATACCTGAAGAGCAATGGATGAGTTTCCCCCTGGGAAAACGACTTTTATGACATGGTATTTCCTCTGTAGAGTATGAGTTGGAATGGCCCTTGCACCTCCTACCCCCTTCTGTCCCCATCCGGGGCTAGGTGTTCCTCCCACAATCCTCTAGGGCACAGGTATTAGCATATGCTAATACCTGTGCACTAGAGCAGTGGTCCCCAACCTTGGGCCTCCAGACGTTCTTGGACTTTAACTCCCAGAAATCCTAGCCAGCGGAGGTAGTGGTGAAGGATTCAGGGAGTTGTAGTCCAAGAACACCTGGAGGCCCAAGGTTGGGGATCACTGCTCTAGTGCACAGGTATTACCATATGCTAATACCTGTGCACTAGAGCAGTGGTCCCCAACCTTGGGCCTCCAGACGTTCTTGGACTTTAACTCCCAGAAATCCTAGCCAGCGGAGGTAGTGGTGAAGGATTCAGGGAGTTGTAGTCCAAGAACACCTGGAGGCCCAAGGTTGGGGATCACTGCTCTAGTGCACAGGTATTACCATATGCTAATACCTGTGCCCTAGAGGATTGTGGGAGGAACACCTAGCCCCGGATGGGGACAGAAGGGGGTAGGAGGTGCAAGGGCCATTCCAACTCATATCTTGCAGAGGAAATACCATGTTATAAAAGTGGTTTTCTCAGGGGGATGCTTATCTATTGCACTTCAGGTGTGCTGCTGATCCCTGTGATTTCCCCAAATGTGGGAAACTCAACTGCATAATATGTGTTAATGGGGGATTGTGTTTGTGATTTCCCTGGTGTTTTTACAATCTCTTTACTCTTTGGTTCCTGGCTGTTTTCACCATCCTCTACCATTTAAATTTGCAGCCATAGCCCCATTGGTGATGCTTTGAAAGATGGTTTTTCCCCCCATTGAAACACATTAAATACATAAGGCCTCCTTTTTTTATCCTAAAAAAGTGGGGGAGAAAGAATATGCTGCTGTTTTTCCAGGAGGCAGACCCTGGAAAGCCAGCAGCATACACTTTCTCCTCCATTTTTGGGGGATTAAAAAGTAGGTCTTATGTAATTAATGTGTTCCAATTGGGGAAAACCTTCTTGCAAAGCAGTTAATGTGTTCCAATTGGGGGAAAACCATCCTGCAAAACAGAACGCGCACACGCACACGCACACACACACCATCTTACGAGGCAAGGACCCAAACATCATTCAATGAAAATTGCTCATAGGAACAATTGTTTTGCGAAGCGCAACATCGCTCAAAAAAAGTCATTGTTTAGCGAATTCCTCGTTTTGCGAGGTAATCGTCTAGCAAGGCAGCACTATAATGTTTTTACTAGTTCTGAGAGATTCTCTGCACAACTGTTCTTATAGACAGAAAACATTTAACACACCTTATTCAGGAAAACATCACACTAGCACAAATTCCATCTATAACCAGCTTATCCCTGCTGAAATCTTTCCAATTCCCTTAAGATTCCATTCCCAATTAGATGGTAATTCTTTAACCTTTCTAATATTTGTAATGTCCTGTTCAACCCAAACCCATATTGTGATGGTTTTCCAATCTGGCTTTTACTTATTTGGCTACTTACCATCTCTCAAAGAAACAGAAGAGGTTACATCTAAGCAAGATACACTTAATCTGTTATTCTTAAAGGACAGCAAAATGGTTTCTCCCAGATCTCTTGCCTTCTTTGCCTTAGCATTCAGCTGCAAATTTTACATAACTACTCCTTGTTGAGACTGATATGAAAATATATTAAATATTAATGTTGTATAGTTAAATGTAAAATGGCTGATTTTACCTGAGTCACTGTACTGATTGTATTCAGGTGTGGGTATCAAGGATTAAGACTTAATGTTGTACAGCTGTGGTACATGAGGAAACTTTGTGTAACAGAAAATGAAGTAATGTATTTTCTGATAGTTCCCAGAACTGTACATAAGTTATGTGTAAAGGAGACATTTTATCTGCTGTAAGTCAGATAACATTATTCATGCTATGTGTAGTATCATGTCATGTTATGCTGCCAGATGAATGTCTATTCTCTATGTATATTTGTAAATAGACTAAGTTGTTGGTTTTACTCTCTCAGTGTCGTAAGTTTCTGCTAACCAATATCTCCTTACTCTGCTGATATGAGAATGCACTATAATCAAATTCTCAACACTCCTCACATGCATGATACACAGAGATATAAGAAACTGTACATGAGAACTGCTGCTCCCCTGAATTCTCTCATATTCCAGGATCTTTCAGATACCTATAGATTTCATTACTCTCCATCAGATAAGGCCAAAAAGCATTTTCCTGACTTGAAGTTCTAAGGTACAATTGTTGTGTTTGCAACTACCATACAACAGATAAATGAAAAAACACCTATGCCAAGACTAAAAATATGATTATACTTGAACTCTATTTTGATACACACAATAAAGACAAACAATAAGATATGAAAAAAAAATCAGTGCCTTACCCTTGTGGTTCTTGGACACTCCTATTTTCAACTTTTTGTTCACACTCCTTTATCATGGAGCTCAAAATCACCTGATAGGTCAAATCAAAAACAAAAATTTTCAATGTAGTTGCCAATTGTGACATTATATATTCACAAAGGTGGCCCAATTTGTATTGGCGTCACCTCTTCAATATTTTATTAATATCTGAAGAAAATACAGTGTTTTTGAAAACATTAGTCAGAGTTAGGAATAAGAAAAATGGTTGCCCAGGACAATCTTTTGCATCTACATCATAGCTAATAACATTCAATTTTGACATATTATATTCTTTCAACGAGCATAGCAATAGACAATAAGTGGTTCTCAGGGGCACAAATGCAACCCCCAGTAATTTAATTTTTACAGTGCGGTTTTCCAACTAAAAATGTACATAAAATGCATATATTTGAGAAAACAACATACATTAGAGCAAGGAAAATCCAGTTACACAAAAAGAGGAATATGAAAATGTGTATGGATTTTTGTGTGAAATTCTAGAAATCCACCAACTCCAGCAAAAAAACACCATGAAAGTGAAGATTAATCAAAAGATAAAATGAGAAAACTCAAAACAAAATTTTCTTAAACACACACACGATTTAAAAAGTAGCTGTTAGTCTGTGTAAGCATACCTAGACAAAACTAAAGCAAAATAAAAAACGCACAAGAAAGTGGCATCATGTTCTTGTGTTTTATTGGTTTTTTTGGTTTTGGTTTTGTCTAGCTATATTGATTAAAGAGACATCTCCACTTTCTATTAAAACCATTCACTTTTTTCTTCTGAAAAGCAAAAGAATTCTCATTTCCATTTTTTAATATACAGAAAGAAAAAAATCTATTCACAAAGAGAAAGTGAAGAGAGAATGGTACAAGGAGAAATTCACTGTTCCTATCAGAAGTATGGCCCCACTGATGCCACTGGATTTTCCTGCAGATACACACCTGCTAGATTTGTTTTTAATTTTACCTTTCTTGCATTTAAGAACTCAAAGAAACTAACAGCATAAATTTATGAGAAATAAAACACAATCAAGACAATTTTAACACTGGAATAATATACCCGGCTATCAAGAAAAACAGTCCTAATCACCAATTGGGACAAGTGCCCCAAAATAAATCCATCCCAAAGCTTTCCTAAAGGACACAATTCTTAAGTAAATATCAGAAGGCATGTCATGAGTAAATCAAGGGGGTCCCTCTGTAGACAGTATTCCAAGAATCCTGAAATCACAATAAAAAGGGCTGGTTCTCATTCCAACTCATCCAGTTGGCAGAGGCATGGGAGGTAGGTTAAAAAGTAGCTTTTCAGATGTGAGAGAACACAGTTTAATCCATTTATGTAAGCTCCATTTCCTTGAGTTGGACCCAGAAATAAAATGGTAATTAATGTGATCAGAGTAAGATGTTCTGTCCTGTTTGCCTCAGATTTTGTAACTCAAAGTGATTTTTTTTCCTTGACAGTTTTCAGGAACATGCTATGCTAATTAAATCTGGAATTTAGTGAAGCATGAGTGACTTGTAGCCAGGTAAAATCTTCTCCAGGAAAGGACAGATTTACTATTTATTTTTTTTTAGTATTTTATGTTTTCCAGAACAATGTGGGTGCTAAATGTTTGGCCATTTCCATGGAGCTGAAAGAGACTGTTTTGTTAATGGTGAGTTGTGTTTTCTTTCCCACAGATGTGGCATGTCTGTTGTGCCCTCACTGGCTTGTTGTACAGTCAGTTTTATTTTTGAATCACTTCCTCATGCTCTTTGCCAATGCGAGAACACATGTTTGGCAGAGCAGGCCAGCACAAAGCCAGCTAGCTACAGGCTACAACATAACTGCTCTGTACTAAACAATCTCAGAATTGTGTGATTTCTAGTACGAGTATATCTCATGTATCCCTAATGCTACCGTTGCTGAGCATTCTGGAGTAGGTATGCAAAACCCTATAAAAAAGAACATGGAAACAATATTGCCAACTTTTAAACTAACTTATGGGCAAAATTTATCAGCATGTGTATACATATTCCCTTCTGCACCCCTCATATACAAAGAGCATATTTTTATTCCTGTCAGTACCAGGATGAAGACCATACAGGGGTGAAACAATCTGATCTGTGAGGAGAGTTGCAAACAGGCAATAAAAACAATGATGATAAAAGACCTGAAGTTTTTCACCTTCAAATTCTATAAAAATTCTAGCATTTAAATCATTCCTTATAATAGGGAAACTCAGGAGGTAAGTGCTAAAATACTGTAGCAAAAATTGGGTTACTAAGAAACAAGAGGGAGCTATCCAGTACGTTCTGGAAGAACATTGCCCGGGACAGATTTTTGATGTGAGAAAGTAATTTTGGATCATGAGGTTTTATCTCCTTTTACTATAAGGTACAGTCTTTAAAAATGGGAAATAACCTGTGATGTTCATATATCTTTCACTCACTGAGTCCAAAACTACAGCCTCTTCTATTCTCAATTTATTTGTTGCTTTATAACTAAAACATTTTTCTTATTACCGTATTTTTCGCTCCATAAGACGCATACACTTCTCCCCCCACTTGTTTTGAGAGGAAAAGTGCGTCTTATGGTGCAAAAAATACGGTATGTTGTCTTTTAATATCCAATAATCAATCACTGAATTTCTTTGCTCATCTTACACCAGATCCAAAATATCACTTTAATTACTTACCTCATGCTCTGGTGAGAGAGTTTCCATGTCACTCCGTAAACACCTGAGTCCTGGTAAAAAGTGATTGATCATTAAATCTTCAGAAATAACTAGAAAGCAAGAAGTTAAGGTCTGACAAAGAAAAAATGGCTTGATGTTGCTTTTGGTCAAAGTCAAAATTGGAAAATCATATACAGAAATCAAAATATATATCTACACTCTCTCACTTCAAAGGATTAACTCTTGAGTGCTGCTGTACTGATTCATTTTTAAAACATGAACGTAAGAATACAGTATATGTAGTTACTGAGAAATACAGTGTATTTACAATGCCAAATGACTTTCAGGAGGGCTTTCTCGTGGACAACACAAATAACAGCACATGTGCTTTTGTATTTTGAAATATAATTTCATGCCCAGCTTGTTTTAGGGCATGTTCAGCTGCTGCCGATTTTTCTGGTTGTTTTAGTTTGCAGTGTCTTTCATGTTCTTTGATCATTGCACACAAAAGACTAGCTAATGACACCGATCAATCATAGTGACAGATCATCTTCCCTCCCTTATCACAACAATACACCTATAACAAAAACACCTTGATCACAATAATCACCCAATCTCCTCAAAAGGACAAAAAGCTGATCCCACAGATGTGAAAGCCTTTGAGAATACATTGATGGGCAATTGTTTGAACATTTTGATGCATGCTTTTTTCATTAGCGTTTCATTCGTACTTTTTAGTTTTACATAATTCAAGTCTACATTGATATATTTTAAAAATCCAAATTTAGGATGCTGTTACTAAAAGTTTCTACCCCTTCCCAAAAGATAAGCAGCTTCTGTAACCAGCCAGAATTTAAGCTTGCAGATGGAGGGGCATGTAAAGTATGATATGACACCATTTTCAAGAACTGCAGGCATTCAGGAGTGCCAGTTTCCTTGTCCCAAGAGTTGGATGGAGGCTGGGGGAGATGCACAGTCATTCGTGTTGCACTGAGGCTCTGAGACAACTCTGTAAGTGATAAGAAGAGTCTTTTCCAGTTGTCCTCAAGGTTTAGTATAGAATCCTGCATCTTTTTCTGATCTTTTTTTCTGAGAAAAAAGTTGCCCCTTTGTGTTACCTACACTAGGTTAAAAAAGAGTTCAGCTTGCCAACATCTCCTTTTTTTAATGTCAAGAGTCAAAAAACTGACAGCTGCAATTAACTTTTGTCAATACCACAGCTTTCCTTTTGATGAAAACTTTTGCAATAATGCATTAAAGAAGGACAACTGAAAAAAACATACAGTACTACAGTAGTTTTATTCTTAGGTTCAAAAGTTACCAATATTAATTTATATCCAAGAGAAATAACTAAAAACCTTTCAAAACAATTTATTTGCACACAGTACATATGATACAAGATATATTTGCACCATCTATGCTGATTGCATAAATAGACTCATCAAATGACATTTTCTAGTTGTCTGTTTTGGACAAATTATTGGAACATGTCCAGCTTCTGCTAAGACTTTTAAAAAGTGACTTTTTTTTACAACTGGGCAGTGAGAATACATGTACTACCTCAAAATGTAGTATCAACTGCACAGTTAAATTTTTTTTAGCCTATTAAGATTTCAAAAGAAATTGGAAATGGCCTTCCTTAAACTTTCAGTGGTTAGGAGACTCACCATACCAACCTGTCCTCCCCCAGAACACTTATAGTGATATCTATGAATGGAATTGCATCCTTTATTCCGGACCCCTGAACACTACACAAAAACTTCTGTACTTTACTTGAACCTTTCAAAATACAGTGTCATTAAAGAAAAAGAAAAGTTTTCATTTCCAGAATAAACTGTAGCACATTGCAACACTTTAGCATAACAGGATTTACAAACTGCTGTATTTCTGAGTATAGTGATGACAAAGTCATGACTGATAAATGACAGATTACTTAGACAATTCCTTTAGATACTGAAGTATACAAACCAAACAAGGATACAACAACAGGAGAGTGCACTATAGGCTTCAAAGAGATGAGTAGCAATGTCCAATCTTTTCGAATCTGTAGACTGCTGGTTATTGACCAATGCAAGTTTATGCAAATGTGGAATAACAACTGGAAAAGCAAACATTTCAATGCAACAGGTAAATATTTTATGTAATATAGCTCATACTTTCATTAAGACAGGCAGCTTCCAGAGGCCTGAAACCAACCCAGAGCACCCCTGTCTTCCCATGACACTAACACCCTCATTAACAAACTTAACCTGCTGAGTCACAAAAGACAAGCAACCCCCTCTAGAGGGCACAAACTGCTATTCTCACCTCTTACAACTATTTTAGGCCCATAGGGGCCTAAAATTCAAGCTTAAACTGAAGAGAGTAGGAAAAACCACTGGGCCACTCAGGTATAATCTAAACCAAATCCCTTACGAATACACAGTAGAAGTGAAGAACAGATTTAAGGAACTAGATTTGGTGGACAGAGTGCCTGAAGAACTTTGGATAGAGGCTCGTAACATTGTACAGGAGGCACCAACAAAAACCATCCCAAAGAAAAGGAAATGCAAGAAAGCAAAGTGGCTGTCCAACGAGGCCTTACAAATAGCAGAAAAGAGAAGGGAAACAAAATGCAGGGGAGATAGGGAAAGTTACAGAAAATTGAATGCAGACTTCCAAAGGAGAGACAAGAGGGCCTTCTTAAATGAACAATGCAAAGAAATAGAGGAAAATAAAAAAAAAGGAAAAACTAGAGATCTGTTCAGGAAAATTGGAGATATTAGAGGAAAATTTTGTGCAAAGATGGACATGATAAAAGACAAAAATGGAAGGGACCTCACAGAAGCAGAAGACATCAAGAAGAGGTGGCAAGAATACACAGAGGAATTATATCAGAAAGTTTTGGATATCCCGGACAACCCAGACAATATAGTTGCTGACCTAGAGCCAGACATCCTGGAGAGTGAGGTCAAGTGGGCCTTAGAAAGCCCGGCTAACAACAAGGCCAGTGGAGGTGATGGCATTCCAGTCGAACTATTTAAAATCCTAAAGGATGATG